TTAATGGCCAGCACGCTGTCTGGCGTTACTACGCCGAGCAGCGAGGCCGTAGGAGCGCCGGTCGGTTTTGCCGTCGCGGTCAGATGAAGCCTATCTGCTTTCCCGTTCTCCAGACAGGCTCCATGGGTGTCAGACGGTTCCCTACCGGAAGAGGACCGGGCCGGAGCTGCTCACGTAGTGCCCTGCTAGAGCTGGAGCGAGCCCCCCGGGACGGGCGCGGGTCCCCGCAGGCCGGAGAAAGGGCCGGGGAAAGAAAGGGGGAGGGTGGGATTAATGGATGCGTGGCCTTGGCAGAAGGGAATGCCTTTCCCTGAGAAAGGAGCGCCTGGTCTAGGTCTCTTTGTTAGTGAGGCTAACCGTTTGCACCCTTTTATTTTTACGTTGCCGACATAAAAATAAACATAAATAAAAATGATCGTTTTTAACGTGCAGCCTGGGCTTGTTTTTCCTACAGGCCACTTAAATTAGAAAAATACATAGTGTTTGTTTTTCTTTTAATCAAAAGAACTCTTCACCCCTTGTAGGACAGCTGAGGTTCTGTGGTTTCAATTTTGTAAACTACATATGCAATAGTATCATTGCGTTTGTAACTACGGAACTAATTTTAGGCTCTCTCGTAACCAGACTTTTGGGAGCTCCTAAGTGTTCCTGGGGGGTAGGATTCAACTGATGCTCCTTTCCTCAGTAACTGGGATTAATATATACTCCTTTACTTGATCAGTTTCCTTAATGATGGAAGTCTTTCTTCAGTAGGTTCTGTGTACGAGGCATGATGTATAGTATTGTTCTTCTCAGTGTGTGCATTTTGATTATGAGGGCAAGAAGATAGTAACTTTTACGGAACACTTAAGTCTCTTATAAAATAATTTTTAAAAGTGTAAAAGTGCTTTCATCCGTTTGGTGGTTTTTTTCTGATGAATCTCAAGGCATCATTTTTTAGAGATGGAAGTAATGCTGGACAAAAAGCTGTGCTCCTGTTTTTTTTTTTTTTTTGTAGCAGATGATGTAACGGACACTCCGTCATACTTCTAGGTTTGCAAATATGGACACAGGCACTATCTCTAATTTACTAACTTTAATGCTGTTTCTTCTTGGAATTGTTTTAATGCCTTTTTTTGAGGTCTTTCCAGATACATTAGAATGTGTGTTTATTTACAGTACTTTGAGTGCTGTTTTTTTCTAACCCCCTTAAAACAGGTAGGTGGGAGAAGGGAATCAGTGATGGATGATGAAACTAGATAGAAGTCTAAGATAAAAGTCAGCCTGTGGGACACACAGCACAGAGAATACAAAAATGAGTTGAATAGATACCAATCCTTTGCCCTCACTTAGCCTGTGTTTAAAAAATATTTGTAAGCTGTGCTCTATGACAATACATTGAGGAACAAAATATTCGTGATTGAAGTTGTGATGGTAGTAAACTTTTTTTTTTAACCTGAGTTCATGTATAAAATAAATTCTTTCAGGAAGAAGAGTATCAGCTCTATGTCAGTGTCTCCTGGAAGAAGTGGATTGTGGTTAGAAGCAACAATTAGGAGAAGCTTAGGAGAATTTTCTCACTGCCAAAAATCAGTTTTCATAAAGTAAAAATCCTAAATCTCCTTACCTAATTTGCTGAGTTAATAAACCATCTCCTGTACTCCAGATTTTTGTTTTGTCCTGATGGTTTTCCTGTAGTACTTTATATTCGTGATGTGAAATTGTTTGTGCTTGTACAGTCTGTTGCACCTATAGATGCAGCAGGATGTTACTGAGATTGTATCCTTAGGTTGTGGGCTGTTTGCGTTCTCATGGAAAGTGGAGAATGCCATCCGTGGAGATGCACCATACTGTTGTGTCATCCACATAGGAGATAACTGCTAGAGAAGTTTTATGCTACCCAGATTTGGACTTCCCGAAGGCTTTAGTATGAATTTTGCTTACTTAATGCTGAAATACTTGTTTCCCATTTACTCTTCTCTCAGGGCAGGGGCCTGTTGAGAAGAATGTTTTATACTGTTTGAGGTCACTTATGGAATCCATTTCTGTGTATGTCCTTACAAGTTTTCTCTTTCTAGTCTTCCTGTGCGAAAGCAGACTTTCTTAAATTGAAACTATTAAATGGTGTGGTGAAGTATGTAAAACTTTCAGTTTTTTCCATGTCATCTGTCCTCACGTTCCCTGATTTTTAATTTATTTATTTATTTATTTTAAAGATTTTCAGTCCTTGATTTTTAAAAAATAACTTCTTACTCCTGTTAGTTTCTGTGATTCTGTTCCTACTCTCAAAGCTTGATCTTAAGCAGATGATGGTACTTTGTATGCTGGAAAACAATATGCTTCTAAATTGCCATTCTGCCCCACAATTCCTGTAAATCTTGTATGCTGCCAGATTTTCGTTGTATTCTCAGTACTTGGAGTTGTCTACAGAACAGCATCATCAGCGTGTACCTAACTTATAATGCTAAGCTGAAGTTTAGAAAGCGTTACTTTGCTGCTACAGTTTCTCTGTTCTGGAAGCAGTGGAGAGTGCCTGTGGGTCATCTTCAGCTAGCCCTGTTGTCCAAGTGGTATTGGCGGAGGAGCACAGCAGCTGAAGTACAGAAACCTTTTCCTAAGTGGCTTGAATGTGGGGTTTCAGCAGAGGGAGACTTGTATTTGACATGTAGCTCGTGGTCTTTCTCTACCTTACTGGCTTGCAACTCTGCTCTTTAACATGCTTTGGTTAACATGTTGCCTGGTATTTCCAGCCACTGTCAATGGATCTTGCAGATGAAGATCATGTTGCCCTGGAGATACAACACAGCCTTTGTGGGGGGAGGGAGTGCTGCTCACTTGAATACTTGGGACACAAAGGACAAGAAGCAGTTCTGATAAAGGTAGATCATGGTACTGAATATGGAGATGGAGGGATCCCTGATGCTGTAGCTGTGGACATCCTGTGCTGAGGACAGGATGCCTGCCTTCGAGCACAGACCTACCTGTATGCATCCCATCCTTCCTTTGTCATCCTTGCTTTCCTTTTGGCAGTGTGAAGATACCACCTGAAAGGAAACAGTTGTCTGATTCCTGATGGAGAAACAGCACTTCTTCCAAAAGGGGTGTTCTGGTGGGAGCTGCTTGTTAGCCACGTGAGGGTGGCACCTCCGTAGGGCGAGTGTCACCACATAGGTGATCTCCTCCAGGCGCAAGTGATAGGACTCTGAAACTAAGTTTTTTTGCTTTAGTACTTGAATATTCAATACCTGGTAATATCCATGTTACCTATTTGTTTGCAGGTGTCTATCTGGTATTTTTTTTTGAAGGAAAAACATATACTCAAGTTTAGACATTTCTTGCTCACAACCTGAAATTCTGATGCATTTTCTAGTAGTCCTGTTTTCTCCTCATCTCTTAGTTAGTGGAATACAGGGTAGAGGTCATCTACTTGTGATAAAAATGAAGTGGACAAGAGAAGGGTGCCTGTAACGTCTTTGCATTGCTCTTCATGAAATACTGCATTCCTAATGACTAGAAATGGCATGCTTTTTTGTTCTAAAGTAGAATGCTGTATTAAGGAATTTGTTCTCATATACCAAAACCCTTTCAGAGTTTAGTGCTGCGTATGCCTTGAAACTGGTCCTTTATGAATGTATGTACATTTTTAACTTGTGACAGGGTTTATGGTGCATTTAGGTTATCTGTCTTACACATCTCATTTTGGAAGACACATGAACTCTTTTAGTTTTTCTAATTAACTGGTTTTCAAGTTCACAGTCATAATGGATCTAAAGATTGCAAAGATGATAGCAAATACAAAACTGCCAAACTAAAGAGAGAAGAGCAACAAAACATAGTACATCATTAGAAAACACTAAGTTACTCTCTTTTCCAAAGCATTGAATTGGTTTGCTTTGTATCCTTCAATGAGATATAGAACCTGAATATAAAGTATAGAAGCTTAAAGTGTAGTGAAAAGTTATTTGTTTCACTGAATGAAAAAAATCTGTCCTGTTACAAAAAGGATGCAAGGAGAGTTCCTCCGAGCGCAATCCCTCAAGGAATTCATACTGACACAAGTGTAAATGCTCCAATCGTTGAGCAATGTCTTAGCTAGATAAACTGTTGTAAGAAAAATAGATTGTGAGAGGCTTTATGTAATAGCATACCTTTGTAAAATATTAATGAAAAGTAACTATTAGTTAATGCTTTTCCAGTATTGGGGAATCTCCTTTTCATTTACAATGTGTTTTTAAAAATCAAATACTCTGTGATTTAGTGCTTTGTACAAAGTTGCAGCAGTATTGCAAAATCGCTCTGTCCTCCTGATAGATTAGGTAACTTGGACTGTTTGCCTTGCCACACTGAGGTGCAGCTGAAGCAGAAACAAACAGAAAAACCCACCTCCCCCCCAAAAACCAACCAAACAAGAAAAGATTACTTGTACACCCAACTCCTTTCTACAGCTACACAAATTGTTTGGCTATCGATATCAAAATTACATGGCTATGAAAATCAACATAAGAGAGATTGATGAACAGAATTGTTTCTGGCAAGTTACTGGTATAATGCCTTATTGAAAGGATCGGGGATGGTGACTGTATTCTACCCCCTATCGCTTTTTGCTTGTTTGTTTGAAGGAAGCCTCACTTAACACAGTAGATCCTGATACTCCTATAATAGTGATAAATGTTAGAGTACTAATAGACAATCATAACTTCTGGGGGACTGCTCCAACACAAATACCTCTAAATTTGCATCCATGCCAACTTCAGCAATGCACTTTAATGCTCCAGTTGTGGTAACCAGGATCCTGTCTAATATCCAGGTATAATTGAACCTCTTAAGAGTAGTGTTCAAATTCAGCCATTTGGTGTCTTAAGGAAATAATACGGAATTAATGTTTTGTTGGTTCCCCCCCCCCACCCCGAGTAGCTGGACTGGACTTTTTAATACGGTTGACTTTTATTTACTGTCCCATGACTAGTTGTTCGCTAGATCATATTTATAAATACTGAGACTGGCTTGTTTTCTTACAGGTGCTACAAAATATACTGATAAAGATAATGGAGGGATGCTTGTATGGTCTCCATATCATAATATTCCAGATGCCAAGTGTAAGTCCTTCCCTGCTTAGGAACTTGGATTCTTAAGTATAACTAAATAATGGTTTCTGATGTGCCTGTTTGCTCTTTATTGTACACACAGTGAAATTGTAAATTAGTAAATTAAACACAAGGCTTCTCTTTTTTATTTAGAAAACACTGGGTAAAGGAAGGTTCACCTTCTCTTATTTTATAGTTAAGTCTTTGTTTCAAATCACACCACTTGTATCATCATCACAGTCTGTGAAATGTTTAGTTGTTAATGAAAGAATAAGACATCTAAACATGAGGAACTTGCTGCTCAAAACTGGTGGGAAAAGGAGTTGCAGTGGATGAATTCAGAAGAGATATGTTGAGGCCCAGTTCAAGGGGAGCTCTCTTATCAGGAAAACCTGAGCATTTTCTCCCTTCGAAAACGACGTGAAATACAGGAGTCATCTGACTAAATGTGATCAGTTATCTGTTTAATGTAGTTTGAACTTGCCTCCTATGCTAGAATTTCCCATATGTAAAACTGTGTAAACTTTGAGGATGTGGTCTTGAGAACCTGGTCCTCAGGACAGTTTCTACCTATTACCCGTAGTTAGAGATTTATGTCCCTCTACATTTGAGGGAACATACCTTCTACCACTGCAGAACAGTTAGAAATAAAATACAACTATGATTATTAAACACTTTCTTCATTCCTTTAAAGTACAATTAACTCTTTACTGCAACAGTTTATGGCAAGGACGTCTCTGGTCCATTTGAATAATGAGGATATAATTGTTTCCTTTCTCAGTCATGCTTCCTTTCAACTACGTTTAGTTGCCACTCAATTGTGAACTGTAGAAGGTGAATGGGAAGAGTCTGTTTCTCAAAAAATAATTTTAAAAAAGTACCCATTGAAGATCAAAACTAGCAGGACTTAATTGCAAAATGATGGAAAGTGTTCAGCTCAAAGCTGGCTCTAATATGGCCAAATATGATTTTAAAAAATGTGTTATTGGCGAATTTCACCTGATTATTGTATTTTCATATTCTATATTGAAAAGTGACTTCATGCCATGGTTAAAATTAATATTGGTCAGTGAACACTATATTAATATCGAGGATATGCATAATCATGGATCTAGGAACTCTTTACATTAATTCTTAACATGTTTGGGAATACAAACAGTAGTAGTTAGGTTTAAAACTAACTTGGATGGCTGGACCCCCCCCCCCCAAGTGTGTCTGTGTCCTTAGGAGTGGGTTCCAAGAAGGCACAGCTTTTGCAAAACCAGCTAGTCTCCAATTTAAATAAATGATAAGTCTCTGTGGCTTTGTTGTAGTGAAAAATGTGAAAGAAAGAATTTTTTTCACTGAGAATTAGCTTGTATAAAAAGTTTATAAACTTAAATGTTGGATTAAAGACAGTGGGCTTATTAGTTATTAACATGAATGAATATATTTAATGTTTTGGGGGACCTGGACCTATGCATTGTATTAAAGTATGGGAAGACTGTTTCCCTGTGTTATATGGCCATTTCTGTATCACCTTATAGCAGAACTAAAAGTACTGAAGAATAATTCTGACATTGCTTTGTTACAGTGGATGAATATGTAGCAATAGCAAAGGAAAAACATGGATACAATGTGGAACAGGTAAGTGCTATGAAATGAGAGTGCTCGTTTAAAGGATTTTTTAATATAAAAGTATGACACAACTCTATTTTTTTTTCCCCCCTTGATTACCATTAATTAACGCTGTTTCTCTTCAGGCACGGCAGCAAACACTGCAGTTAAATGGATCTGCATACAGTTGTGGTCTGGATTCTCTGCAAAAGATTGAGCTCTTTGTTTTCATGACATGCTCAGCTTTTAATGTGCACTTTTGAAAGGTTTGGTATGTTTCTTGATACACTGGGCATGTCATGCAATTGTGTGTGTATATCTAGCTAAAGAATTTCCTAGGAAAGTAGCTTATAAATTTAATGTTAAATACTAGAATTCAAATATAGTACAGATTTGAACCATTAATTGCGATAGGGACAGCACTGGAAAGGTTTCTTGCCTATTAAAAAAAAAAAAGGCAAACCACCTTTAAGTGAGTGTTTTTGCAGAGACAGGAAAACAGAATTAAATTCTAGGTTCCAGAGTAATAAACAAGTTTGCTTTTTTTTTTTAATAGCCTTTAGTCACCATCCTGTAAAAAGTACAGTATAAAACTTTGCTGGTTTGCACTTAGTTCTGTTGCAATTTTCTTCATAAATTAACCAATTTATGTAAAAGTGAGATTACCTATTGCAAGAAAATATTTGGCATACAAGTGGAAACAAGTTGTGTGTGTTTTGGAGGATGGAAGCTCATGATAGCAAAGACTTGCTAGTCAACTGCTACTGGAAAGAGAGGCTGACAGTGTTGCGGTGTCCAGAGTACCTGCAGTTTGGCGATACTTGTTTATGGCTTGGCTTTTGTTAGGGGAGAGAGGGAACCAACCAAGGGATCTCAAAATAGATCTGGAAAAAAGACTTAATTTTCAAAGCATCTTCTGGTACAAAATACTTGTAGACTGTTCACAGTGGAATAGAAATTATCTTTGCAAGAGGTGCTCGTTGCTTGCCATTTTAATAAGTAAGTAAGTTTGCTATGTCTGGGTAATTAGATGATGTGAAATCAGGGGTTTGGAGAGCTGATGAACAGCTGGTGATCGTGTCTGCACTGTACGGTTGAAACTGAGTGGATTACATTTGCCCACTCCCGTGCCAGATTTGGCATCAAATCTGTCATTGATTCTCTGGCAGAAAGTCTAATCAGCATAAAATTCTTAAAGAATATTCAGAAATGAAATTATGTAAGAAAGTGTATTTAAATTTCCATTCCTTATTAGGTGCATGTGACATGGAAGTGGCCGTGCTGCTATTTATGGATTGGAGAGTTGTAGAAAGACCACTCTCACTTTGAACTTTAAGACTTACATTTTGGATGATCCTCTGGCTGCTGAAAAGTATTTTTATTTTCTTTTTCAAGTGGGCTAGTAATAAAGGCCTGAAAAAGAGCTATAAGGAAGTGTGTAGGTGATACATGCTTGTGAAGGAAGAAAGCCAGTCAGGTTTGAGCCTGTCAGCCTAGTTCATGCTACTTCAGAATTACTGCTGCCATGCCAACCTTAGATTGTCTAACTTTCATAACTTTAATAAAGTACAGATGTGCCCACTCTTCATATCATCTCCAATAAGAATCTTTTAACTTATAGTACATAGCCAATGAAATTATAAATACATTGTGAGAAGGGGTTCTGTAGTCAAATTTTGTTTTAAATAAATATATTGCATTTTTTTTAATTTAACTTGTCTCAACATTTTAGAAAGTTGACTAAAACCAAAAAGGGACTATTTCTTTTCAAAGGCTCTCGGCATGTTGTTCTGGCATAAACACAATATTGAGAAGTCCCTTGCGGATCTCCCTAACTTCACTCCTTTCCCTGATGAATGGACGGTTGAAGATAAAGTCCTATTTGAACAAGCATTTAGTTTCCATGGAAAGAGCTTTCACAGGATCCAGCAAATGGTAAAGTAATATTTTAATCAAAAGCATTAAACAGTTCAGATGCACTAAGAAAAAGGCTGCTGTTGGGCTAAAATTTCATGTTGATTTCTGTGTAAAAGCTTCAGGATCAGCCTTGAATCTAAGATTTAAGTTAATTTCAGCATGTCTCTTGGACTTATAGCTTTTTCACTCTAGTAAAAAAAGCCTCTCCCCACCTTCTCCCTTTTTTAAAAATGTATATGAAGTACATCCCTCCTTTCCATCTCATCCATGCATTTAAAACATTTCGGTAAAGGTGGCTGTAAATAGAGCAGAATTATAATCTTGGGTGGAATTTTAATTTTAAAAAGTATTAACATGTTAATGAATTCTTCTAGCTTCCAGACAAGACTATTGCAAGCCTTGTAAAATATTACTATTCTTGGAAAAAAACTCGCTCTAGGACAAGTTTGATGGATCGACAGGCTCGAAAACTAGCTAATAGAAATAATCAAGGTGACAGGTAAGTTTTATATTCTTAAATAGGTAACCAGAGACTGAAGTGTTTCTAGGTCGAGATGTTGGAGTAATTTCCAGCCATTATGTATCAGCATGAGCAGTGTTTTTAAGTTTGAGCATCTATGGCTATGTCTCTGCTTTTGGTAGGGCGTTTGGTACCTGTGCTTTAAGAACTGTATCACTCTGGTTGGTGTGAGTTGTAATAACACGCTTGAGTGCTTTAATGGGTAACTGTAAAAACAAAGGGTTAAAAAAAACCTGAAGTCTGGGAATGTGATTTAGAAATAATGCTTTATTTGAGAAATCCAACCCTGTATTATTGTGTGGGGAGGAGAGTGTTTTTGTGGGTGTGAGAAGTTACATTGTATGAATGACCGGATTGGATTTGGCTAAACCTACTGTTATCTTCTCAACTTTTTCTCTTCGATTTAGTTCAGCAGATTTCATTTTCGCCCCCCCAATGCCTAGATCTTGAGCACTTTGGTGAAAAAGCAGCCCTGTGTTTTCCCATGTTACATTGTCCCCTTTTGCTCCCCACAGACATCAACAAGGCTTTATTCATACGCCTGATGCAGTGGTTTGAAAATTGATCTTTTAAAACTAACATGGCAACTGAAAGGTTATTTCTATCCTTGGTATAGTTGACCATGTAAGTGTTTATGCTGGCACAAGTAGTAGAACTGGAGAAAGGTGACACCAGATTTTTTGGCAGCAATACCAGTACTACACAAAGTCATTTTGAAACTACAGTTTAGGATTTCTTGTTTATCATAGTAATTATTATAATTTAATAAATGAAATAATGTTTGTAACAGCTTTCTTTTGAAAACTACAAATAACTTAGAGGTGCCATATACTTAGAGTAGATATTTTAGAGTAGATAATTCTGTCTTACCCTGGTAGATATTTATATTTGGGGTTAAAAAATATATAAAATGACCAGCTTCTTATCATCTGTCCTCAGTGATGATGACGTAGAAGAAGCTCATCCAATGGATGGAAATGATAGTGATTATGATCCCAAAAAAGAAGCCAAAAAGGAGGTAACAGATAGCTTAACGGTGAATGTCAGTTTGTTTGTTTTCTGTGAATGTGTTACTGTGAAGAATATGACTTGTAGTGAAGAGGTTTAGCTTGTCGCGTGCTGAAATCACGGGATTACTAGGTGATCAAGATCTTGACAACTTCCGGTTGAAACAAAATTTTAGTGTGTGTTTTTGCCATTCTGTGGATGTAAATGCATCTCATCTTCACTATTTCATGAGACGTCTTCAAGTGTTAAGAGATGTATGCTACACTACCTGCTAAAACAACATTCCCTCTGCCTCTGTGTTAATATGTTTACAGTTTTACTGGTTGTGAATTACTGGAATCTAAATGTGTTCTTTGCATTTTAAAATTTAATGACATTTTTCCAAGAATAACTTTTTTTTTTGTTCTTTCAAAGCCATACTGAGGTTATGAATTTCAACTAATTTATGGCTTTATTGAGGAGCTTGCTACTAATAAATGTAGAGAAAAACATTTTTGTCTCCTCTAATGAGCACTTACTGTTAGCTTTGCAGAGAAGTGCTGTGTTTGGGGTATGTTCAGGTTTAGCGTTTTTAGGGGGTTCTTTTGGTAAACATTTTTTATGAACAAGACTAGAAGAACACAGTTAAGTGTGTAAGCATTTGATTGTTTCCTTGATCAACTTAGTGCATTTGTGATTTTCCTAAAATAGGACAGTTCATGCTTCTTGAGAATCTGTGAGAGGAGAGTTAGTGCAAAACCTCAGCAATCCCATAAAGTGGTATCTAGGATTATTAATAAAGCTTTGCAGTTCTACCAGAAGTGATGATGAGCAAAAGATTGACAGGTTTAGATTCCATTATCAGCTTTGCAGTGACCTTCAATGTGTTGCTTTACCTATACTGCCTCAAGGGAGGGGAAAAAAGGACAATTGCTATTGGCCCTTTTTGTAAAAGAGTTTGAGATTTCTTTTTTTTTTTTGTTAATATGCCAGGTTATGTTTTTTAGAATTTGAAATGGCACAAGGTCTAATAATGAACTTTTTTACTTTTCCTTCTGCTGTTGTAACAATGTTCTCGCTATCTGCTCATTGAGTTGCTGCATAAGCCACTTCTAAATAAGGGCTATTTTGTTCAATTTACTTTCCTTAGTTATTGTTTGAATCACTGCACACAGTACAGAGTGAAAGTGTGCGTTCATAGACTTCTAGGAACAGGACAAATAGGTTTGTAGTTTCTGATGAGCTATTCGGATCTATATAAGATAATTTTGTGACCTAATATTTCTGTTAGGATTTGCGTACTTTCACCTCCTAAGTAAAATCTAAACCAAGTAGGCTACTTGAATGTGCAGAGCAATGGAAACTTTCTGTTACCAGAGAAGACTAAAACAGGCCAAACACTAGCTTGGCAAGACAAAAGCTTGAGAGAGTATTTTCACTTTAAATCCAGATTGAACAGATGGGATCTGCAATTTCATACTGAAAGAGCAATGCAGAACCAAAAAACAAATGGTATAAATGGGCCAGAAGTAAACTCCACCTTGGGATTTTTAGATGTCAAAGATGCAAGGCTCTATATCAACTTTCCAAGGAAAAGCAAATATCTTAAATGCTTTTGAGATGGCCTCTATGAAGTCTGTGGGCTGGATTAAGATGTTACATTAGCTGGGAAGAGGATGTGGCAGAAGGTCAAGCATAGTGGAGCAAAACACTGTTTGCTGGTCTGTGCTAATGCTACGGAACATAATAATAATGGCTGCTGCAGTTTGTTTTCTCTTCACTGTGATCAGATGACGACCTCCTCTTAGCATGCATGGATGCCAGCAGGGAGGAGCAGTAGGGAGCTGCTTGAAGTAGCAAAAAGCCTGCATCCCACCTCTGTTCCGGTACTAAGCGTTGCTTTGAATTGGAAGATCCTTGCAGGGAAAGTAATTTTTGCTGCTCTACTCCTGGTCTGTAGGGAACCTACCCGGTTGCTCTGCGGGAGTCACATACATGCAGACTAGCTGTTGTGCAGCAGTGCCTACTGAAGACAAAGCTGAAATTTTTAGGTGTCCTAACATATTGAAACAGCAGCTACAAAGATTTCTTCTCCTCTGTGCTATCGCTTTCCACTTTAAAAAAAGCAAGCAACAAAGGTTTAAGTTTGTGAAATGACATGGATTTTTGTAATGACTGCAAAAGTAAATCCACCCTCTCTCTTCCAAACCTCAAATCCCCTCCCACCGCAAACAGCACTATTGCATTCCAAGTTAGAGTGCTTGCAGCAGGGGAAAGTGTCATCTTGCATTCTTGCCCATCCTGGTTGACTTTCTCTCATTCTTCTCCCCCAGTCTTCACCTGAACTCTTTGTATCTGGCCAGAAATAAATGTGTAAATTCATTGATTATTTGGTTTAAGCATGTAGCATACATATTCTTTACCTTCTGCGTACACAACAGGTTTTCAGTTTTTTGCCCTCTTTTACACTATTTAGACTGTGATTTCTGTACCTTTTAATTGTGTTTTTAGCCATATTAAAAAAAAAAAAAAGTTTTGAAAACTGGCTTTTTTAAGACTAACACAGCCTTATCCAGCAAATGACTGATATGCTCCATCAGCTCATCTGCAAGACTTAATTTGGATACTACATGCAGAGGAGGATGTTAGCTTAAGTTTTCTTGGTCATAAATTTGACATTACAATGCTATGTGATACTTTAATAAAGTTGTATATGAGATACTGTTATTCTTTAATGATTTATTTCTTGTAAATTAAAGGGCAGTAATGAGCAGCCTGTTCAGACCAGCAAAATAGGTCTGGGTAGAAGAGAGTATCAGAGCTTGCAGCATCGCCACCACTCTCAGCGTTCCAAATGCCGTCCACCAAAAGGCATGTACCTGACCCAGGAAGATGTGATAGCTGTTTCCTGTAGTCCCAATGCAGCCAACACAATTCTTAGACAGCTGGATATGGAACTAATCTCATTAAAGCGACAGGTACCATGGGTTATTGGTCTTGTTTTGTTTTCATCTTGGTTTGTTCTGATTGTAATGATTTTGAAGATTATCTATGAAGATTCTGAAACGTCTTTAATGTGAGTCTTCCTGACTTTGTTCCACAGTTGTCACCAGAAATGCTGGACACTAGCTGACTAGCTATTCTTCGGTTTTGTTTATGTTCATCTGCTCTTGTAGATAACATGAAACAAGATGACTTCCTTTAAAAAAAAGGGGGGCGGGGGTATGGCATGAAAACAATGTTACAGATCTGAGGACAGGAGAAAACCAAAGTGACACTTTTTTTTTTTTTTTTTTAAAGTTTGTTAAAAGTATTTGTGTGACAAGTGAGAATAAGACCAATGAAGCAGTGGAAGTTACATCTGTTATGCTTAAAATAGTAGCTGTTTTTCTGGATGTCCTTCCCCACATACTGTGGAATTATAGGGGGGTGAAATCATGGACCGAGTTATTTCTCTGTTTGAATTGATGAGTCTTCTACTTCTCATTAAATTTAGAAAAGCTTTGTAGTCTTCAACTTTAAGAGGACAATTGCCTGCATCCTTTGCATGAAGAACTTAACTTTTGGCACTTAAAGTTGAAACACAGAATCTATTCAGCTTCTAAGGGTGTAGCAGTATGTGCATGCTTGCTTTCTAGGAGCGATGGGGCTACAAAGTCAAGGCTTATCTCCTGGAATTTCTGCCTCCTTATAGACTGCTAACAGCTGCCATGTTGCAAAATCATGGAGTAAATAAAGGGTTTCATGGGGTTTTTGCTCCCTTCTATTCTTTTACAGGATAAAAGTGCTTCTTTCTGTCACAGCAGGACTCTGGGGCTAAATAGCATAGGTGGGTTTCACTCTTTAGCCTAAGTGTAGGTGAGTTACAGCCTTGAGGTTGTGTTTCTCTTTTTTTCTTCCAGTGATGTCAGCAATGCAGCCTTTGGAATATCCCACTGAGTTGTCTGCTTTTTTGTCCATACTTAAAGAACACTTATAATAGCTGTGCAACATAGTGTGCGAAACTATTTCTGTGCCTGTGTTACCTTTTGTGCATCACTGTCAGGTTTAAATGGGTAATAGATATGTGTGTATGATTTGGAAGCTCTAGCCTTTTTGTAGACTAAAATATTTTATTTAAATATTTTAAGTAATTTCAAGAATCACCTTTAAAGGAAATCATGATCATTTAAGGTCAATAAAAAGCAGTCTGTCAGAAAGAACTAGCTGGAAATACTTCATGAATCTTTACCTTTTTTCCAAAGTGCATTTTAGAGAAGAAAGAAGTTAATGTATACAGTACATATTACTTAGATTTCTAAGAACCAAGTTTTATGTCTAGAATATTCTGCATTCTTCTTCAAGAACACATGCATCATTATCAAAACTTGCTTGCTGTGTCCTACTTTTTATATTCCTGCAGATAAACTGTTCTTTTGAAAGACTGGCTTAAATATTTTTCTCTCTGTAGTAAACTGTGCTGTATTTTTTTTTTTTTTTTTAACAATTAAAAGTAGTGAAGCCTTAAACCATAATATTTCTCTTTCTAACTTAGGAGGTACACTTGTGGCAATCCTAGTGAAGATATATGTGTAAAGTGACCAACTTTCTTTGTGGAGCTGATTAACTTTGTTGTTTTTGACCAAGGTTCAAAATGCTAAGCAAGTAAACAGTGCACTTAAACAGAAAATGGAAGGCGGGATTGAAGAATTCAAACCTCCTGAGGTAAATCAGAATAAATGTTAGAACTTGTGGCCTTGCACTTACGTTAGTGGGAAGCTACAGAAATGTATTTTGCTGCAGCATAGTGTTTGCATTCCAGCAGCAGCTTAAACAGGATCCATTGAATTACATGCAGGGGTGAGTCTGTGTGACTTCTTTACAAGAAATCAGTGGTATACTTTTTTATGGCAACTGGCTGAATAAAGAAGCAGAAGAAACTGAAATGTCGTGTCTGTTCATGACAGTAGGGAGCTGAAATTGAGCCCTGGGTTTTTTCTGATTAAAAGTAGTTACTGTAGATTGCTAGCAGTAAATTCTGTGTTCTGTGTGAAAACATTATATACATTTGGGCATCCAAAGAGAATGATTTATTACTACTGAAGTTCTCTTTTTGCTTGTTTTAAAGGCTTGGATATGAAACATAACACGAATGCAGAACACTCCAGGCACCAAGTCCTAATAGTTTAGATAAATGTAACTATAAATTCAGATTCTGTCTGCATAAAGATCATTAGCTTGTGCATAAGGTATGATATAGCTAATATTAAGAACTGCAATAAAACAAGGGAAAACTGTTGGTATAGTTCTGAGCTCAAATCCTTAAATGCTACTTCCTCTTCGTGAAAGCAATCATAAACTATAAATTTATGGCTTTATAAGCAAGAGATTTTTACCTATGTTTCTAAATGTAGTGCAGGTAAAACACATTCTGATGCTCAGAAGCAGCTGTTGAAACATTTTAATGATCTTTGTGCCATTTCTCTAATTTTAATAGTCTAATCAGAAAATCAATGCCCGTTGGACCACAGAAGAGCAGCTTCTTGCAGTACAAGGTATGTTAATAGTAGTAGCGACTTGAAATCTGATGCAAAGGATTTGAAGAGGTACTCAGGCTTATGTTTGTGTTTCCCTCTCATGAAAAGCTAAACTTTATCTGGTCTTATGAGAAAGTCACTGGGAAAATGGCAGAACTAGTGAGAATATTTAGCACATTCATTCAAGCAATGTGACACTAGTCTTTGTTAGCCATGTTAAATCTTGAATAGAAAAGCTAAGCTGGGTTTAACAACTGTAGTAGTACCAAAAAGTCTCTTCAATCATCTTCTAAATAACCTTACAATAATTTCTCTAAAGTGGAAGACTGACGTAATAGTTGAAGTAATAAAATTTGAAGCAAATGCTCGTTAAGACATCTCTCCATATTCTTAAAGTAGGAAAACGTAGAAGTAAAACTGCTTTACAGTTACTTTTCTCTGTTCGTGAGGGAGTAAAAGAGCAGGTATCTGCCCAGGGGAGGCCTTTTAAAGAGTCTGAAGCTGGATCTGGATACTTCATTAACAGTCTTATTGGAGAAAACCCAACATTTTCTAGCAGGCTATTGATACAGCTAATTTGCAGTTACTTCATTCATACGAAGGAAAACTGACTCTTGTCTTGCTTTAACATGCACTGCCTAATCAAGGAACATGCAAGCGAAATATCTGGAGAGCCTAATGCTGTCTTGAAGTCACTATGTAATGACTCACTTCTATGGATCATCTCTTTTAAGATAATATAATCAGCTCAGTTATACGCATCTGCTTGAATTTTAGTATAAAAGGAGATGAAGAATACAGAGAAATAAGTCTTTCATTTTAAACCTTAAGTTGGATCAGGATATCAGTGTAAAGTTGTCAGGTGTGCTATACCTGGTAGTTGTTAGCCAGATGATTGGACCTAAAGTTAGGTTTACTGTGAAGTGCGAATGGAAATGCTGAAGAGCGTGGTGTATCTGAAGTCATGCTTCTCAACTTAAATGCCTCAGACAGGGATTTGCATCTCCAAACCATTTTCTGTCCCAAGTTTGTTCTCTCAGTATTGCTAACAAGCTCACTTTTTTAAAGTTTTGTTTCCAAATGCAACTGAGGGAGATGCCCATCTTTGATAGGATAGTGTAGTAAGTAGAATACTTGCTGGGGAAGTGGGAAGAATCCAGGTTCATTGTGCCTGCCTTAGCATGAAAGGATTCAGACCGTCTTACATTTTCATGGTTTAGTTATCAGAGGTCTCACCAAGCATGAGTTTGGGAAGTGATAAGAATGCATTGAGCTTTTGTTAAGCTATGGCACTATATGACCAAAAAGGTAAATAATATAACTGGAGAATGGGCAAAAGAGAATGAGGGTTGATGCTGACTTACTGGAGAGGAGTTCTAGTCTTCTGTTCTCTTCTCCAGGGAAGGTTTCCTGTTTTATAAAGGTAGTCAGCATCAGTACTTAAGGGTGGGGTGAGAAATCAGGCCTTCTGGAAGGAACATGTTTTCATTGAATTTTCATGTGTTTCTTGTATTGTTTGCTTTTTATTCACCTTCTTTTGCTGCTGTATAAAATGGAGATGGGAGAGCACCTTAATGCCAGGGACAAAGTATTCTTATTATCCCTCCCTTACCTGCTACCCAGGAGTAGAGTCTCCCTCCTGGAATGAGAGTGCTGTAGGTATTATCGTCCCATCCCTCAGGCTAAGGACCCTGATCTCTTGCTTCAAAGTAATTGCTTGAGCTGGTAGACTTATGCGTGAAGGAGCCATGCTGTCTTTTGCCCTGACTCTGCTTTTAAAAGAAAGTAGCCATGGTTGCTGTACTAAAAGCTGCCATAATGCGTGTTAGGCTTGAACTTGGAAGTTGACTTGAGCACGGGGACATTTGGTTTGTACATTTAAAATACAGTTATTTAATCAAATGTATTGATACAATTTGGCATGTGCTTTTAATAATTTTACAGAAATCATAAGCATTAAGCAGGTAGGTGGCACTTCTGTGGTTTGTTCACTTGAATTCAGACATCATTTTGCTACTGTTTTTCCTAAACATGAAAAAAACCTCTTGTCATCTATAGGCTAATCTCAAGAGATAGGCCGTAACTGAAGAGTAGGTAATGAGAAAACCCACCTTAAATTAGAGCTAAGTGTGTAATGTTAAAAGCAGTGTGAGTGCCTGCTGTGGTGTTGTGGACTAAGGCTTACGATCTCTAAGCCAATCTTTTGCAGTATAACTTAATCAGGTTACTGTTCAACTTTGTCTGAATAGTTACTGAATGTAACAGGCCAAGTTCATCCCTTGAGGTGTTCTTAAGTTACAAACTTTTATGTATAGAAATGTATGAGAACAATAATCCTTTCAAACTAAGATCTCAGCCATACGAAAACTGCAATTGCAAAAATGTTTTAAGACTTGTTTGAAACAAAAAAATTTGCATTGGAAGGCAATGCGTGACTTTCATAGCATTGCAGTGGAAAACAGTTGAGACAACCAGGATCTAACCCTACATAAGGTGGTTGCCATTAGTGCTGTAATCGCAATGAAACTGCAGCACTCGTAACCTGGAGGTTGTCGTTAACTATTTCTGCCTTGTTGCGGTGCTGTGTTGCATCGCTTTGGACCCAGGCTTGTGTTTTGTGTGCCTCGGTGTCTGCTGTACTGCACGGCATTAAGCAACGTAGGCAGCATCAGGATTTTCAAAATCATTGGATTTTTGAGTGTCTCCGGGTTAGACATTTAAGGGGAAACATTGTAACAGTGAGCACGAACATGTTCAAGTGCACCTTTGCAACTGGGCGAAGTTTTGCAGAGCTTGAAGGATTCCCATGATCAGGGCTACTTTCAGATGAGCCAGGAGAAAGACATTCGTACATGTGAAGTGAGGCTATGCAGTCGTCTTTTGAGCTTCAGTTTCAGCAACCTAATAAAGTTATTCTTATTGAGTAACAGATTAAACAGTTTAGAAATAATTTGGGTGGTGTGTAGCACAGAATTTGTAAAGGATGTGTAAGTAATGCGCGCCAATTTGAAAGAGATGATGAGTTGGCATCAACTCTTACAGATATGCCAGCACCTTATGCATAAAGCTGTCATAAACATATATTGAACTTTTTGTTTCTGATGCAGATTAAAAGGGTTCTACTACACCATTGTGTGGAAGCCATTGTGGTGATGCTAGAGCAGTAGTAAATAACACGCTGAAAAGAATCCAAAAGGAGTAGTGTTGTGTGTAGCTAAACTAAGGAAATTTTGTTTTCTTTAGGTATTTCTTATAGTTGGGCTCTCAGTGAAGGCAAGATACACTGTTTTCAAGCTGTTTGCTTGGTAATAAGCTTTAAGAAATTTTCTTTTTGATAACTTCAGTTGAAGTTAGCCAACAGGCTCATTTTTGCAGATTAAGGTGAAGGAAGAAGTATAGACAGCGTAGTAACAGAAAAGGCTGAAATCACTAAAAGTCTGAGTGAAGTTTCAAACAAAAATGTGGTTTGTGCTACTGTGTACTTTGTTCACTTGATTAATTGTACAGGATGTTAGATATGTTGCAGTGGACATCTAATGATAATTATAAATTAGTAAGGGTGGTAATGACAGGGCAATCAAGGAGTAATAAAACACTGGAGGGAGTGCTCTGTGGGCACACGCAGCTTTTAAGGAGTGCAGCTGATACCTTGCACAAGTGATAAAGTGCAGAGCCACATCCCTGTCTTTGCTTTGCCTAGATACATGCCCTCCCATGCGGCTCTGCTAGGTCCCTTTGTTTCCTTTCCAAGGTTCTTGCAGTCAGGATGGTTGGATTGTTCTGTGTGCCCCAGAAAAGATCTTAAATAGTGTAGCTGGGCTCTTGATAGTTGAAACATCAGCTTCAGCTGCAGAAATTGTTATTGTCCTAGAGCTGAACTTTTCTCTTAGTTTGCAGTGAGTGTACATTACCACATCAGAAGTGCCTATTAACGAAGAAAGTAGAAAAGAGCAGAACAAGCTGAAGGTCATACTCTTCACCATTAAGTTGAAAAGGAACATAGCTTTCAGAATTGGAATGACTCTCACTTTCTGAATCCTTTGCTTTACTTTCTGAAGTGAAGCATGAAATCAGGCATAAATTTCTCTTCCTGTAATGAGAGTGCCTGTCCTCTAAACACTGTAATACGTTCCGAATTACTTTAGTTATCAGGAGCTTCACAGAAGAAGTGAAATTGTAATTCACTCATGCATAGCTGAGAGCAAAAAAGGAGTCTTCTGTTTACTGAGTCTGGAATAAAACTCTGTTTTACTTCTTTTGGTCTCCAAACTTTTGGGCTCCTGTGATTAAAAATATACTTTGTGCAGCTAAAAGCTATGTTCTACGATGCTGAAGAGTTTGAGGATTTTCTTCTTAAGCAGGAGAGAGGAGGAACTAGACACATACCCTAAATACAACTGAGAGAAAGTTAATAACTTTAGATCATAATTCCAATTTTAGGTTAAAAACTATGGAATGTTGTACTAAAGTGATTTTTTTTGTTGTATGCAAATGTAGTTTTAGAACTTTAGAAAGTACATGCTGGAGTTTTTGGCAAGGACCAGCAGCGTTTTCTTGTGAAGTGTTTGTAAATGAAAGTGACCTACTGATGTCAACATGAAAATGAATGAAAAGAACGATGCAAAGATCTTCTGTCATGCTGCTTCTTGCTGGAGGATTTGATCCTTGGAGGCTTGTGCTGAGCTGTCTTACAAACAGATACCAAGAGCTTAGATTTACCCAAGGTGATTGTTCCAAAACCCCAGATTCTTCTACCCATCTCGAATAGTGAATGAAAGCTTTAAAAAGACCTTGTCAGGTGAATGCTTGCCAGTTCCCCTTTGTAGCCTCGGTAGAGCATGTCACAAGTGGAGGAGTGAGCAGTGTGTCGTGACTGATGGAGCTGTGCCCCCTGTTCTGCCCTGTGCCAGGAGCTGCTGCCCTCTACCACTCCTGCTGCACAGGTTGTGGCCAAAGACACATCTGTGTACAGCTGGCGTGGAGGGAACCTATAGAAGCTGTCAGCATTTGTCACTTGACATTTCTAGTGTTATACCCTGTTTACGGCTCTACACACATGCTCGGTCCCCCTCACTCTCCCATCTTGAACTTGTCTTGGGCTTCTGCCCTTACTGCAGGCACACTGAAGGATTTGCTTTATTTGTCAGAGGCCAGATCTCTGTAGTTTTAGGTTGGGAGGCTCGGTGAGTAAGCCAGGATCTTTAAGAAAAGTGGGTAATGACCTTTTAATAAAGTTCTTGATTTGTATGTTGATAGCTGTGCAATTAAAAATTACTTTGTTATAATGGAAACTGAGGCCTTCTCCTAATTGAGAAGTCCTCGTAATTAGCGAGTCCTTGGTTTGCAGGTCCCATAGGTTCTCTCTATAAATACATCACACGTAGCTGTGTCTGACTGATTCTTCACAGCTATGTTATTTACTTTGCCTTCCAGGTGTCCGAAAATATGGTAAAGATTTTCAAGCTATTGCAGATGTAATTGGCAACAAGACTGTTGGCCAAGTGAAGAACTTCTTTGTAAACTACAGGCGTCGGTTTAACTTAGAGGAGGTATTGCAGGAATGGGAAGCGGAACAAGGAACCCTGGCTTCTAATGGTGATGCTTCTGCTTTAGGGGAGGACACAAAAAATACTTCTAATGTGCCATCAGGAAAGAGCACTGATGAAGAAGATGAGGTGTGTTTTGTGTACCAGAAATAAGTAAGCATGGGTTGAGGAACAGCATTTTATTTAGTGATATAATGTAAGGTTAACTGGTGTGGAGTGGCAAACCGCATTCTAAAGAATGATGATGAGCTTGCATAGAACTTCAGCCAATGTCGTTAACCAGCTGGGAGCAGGACTGCACCTTTCATAGTGACGAGCACGTTACTGTTTTATTGTTAAAATACAGTTCTTGTTCTAGAAAGAAGACTCTTGCTTCGTAAATATTTTTAGTTCTGCTGTCTATAATGTTTTGGTTGATGATTTCTTTTCAGTAACTTCTCAGTTTTTCGGTTTTGTTTTTTAAATGCTGTTTCCTGTGTAGTGGACAGTGGCAGCCCAACTGGATCATGTTCTGGCTGGGGTGGCTGTTCACGCGGTCTTGTCTTTATCCTTTGTGCAGGCACAAAGCACTCCGGCCACTCAGTGTTTAGGCCCTTCACCTCCAGCACAGGCATCTGCTCCAGCACCTACCGCTCCCATGGCAACTTTAAATCAGCCGCCCCCGTTACTTCGTCC